GGGGGGGGGGGCAGGGGAAGCGAGGAAAGTACTACAGTTCCCTCTGCTTTTCCCCTTAGCTTCCCTACCACTCACCACTGCACAAACACCCACGCCACTCACCACCCCAGAGAGCAGCATCAGAGTGTGGTCAGACTTCCTTCGAGTGCAGCTCCATCCCCGAAGCATCTGCATGATTCACAAGTACAACCATGATGGGTACGAGGGCCCAGGAGCTGGGGCAGCAAACGTGGGTCCCCACCACAGCCAGGGCCTCCTTGGTGCCACCCTCCAAGACAGGAGAGACTAAAGAGGGTGAGGGTGGTGCCCTCTGTCCCCAACTCCTGGGCCTCATATTCCCATGTGGCAGGGAGACAGGTCGGCTGGAGGCTTTTGGGCAAGGAGAGAGTATCCTGAAGGAGCCTGGGTACCTGGAAGACCTGGAGGACAGGCTGCACTTCTATGTGGAGGAGTGTGACTACTTGCAGGTAGCCGGGGCTGGGGCCGGGGCCGGGGCCGGGGCCGGCTCCGGAGTAGAGATTCCCCGATCTTACGCTGTCCTCTCCTCCATCTTTACCCCACTCCCGCCAGGGTTTCCAGATCCTTTGTGACCTGCACGATGGCTTCTCCGGGGTAGGTGCTAAGACCGCAGAGCTGCTGCAGGACGAGTACTCGGGCCGGGGATTGATAACATGGGGCTTGCTCCCGGGGCCCTACAGACTCGGGGTGAGTGGAGCTGGCAGAGGTTGTGGGGTGGGAGGGAGAAATGGGAGGATTCAAGCCCAGCACACTCCTCTCCACGATGTCACCAGGAGCCCCAGAAGAGCATCTACCGTCTGCTAAACACAGCTTTCGGGCTGGTGCACCTGACTGCTCACAGCTCCCTCGTCTGCCCCTTATCCTTGGGTGGAAGCCTAGGCCTGCGACCAGAGCCAGCCGTCACCTTCCCCCACCTGCAGTATGATGTAAGGCTCTATGCTCCCGTGCAGACGACAGCAGGCTCACAGCCTGCACCTCACTGGAATACCTGTCCCTTGACCCCACGGTGTCATGGTCATTCTTGGCCCAAACACAGCCCTACAAGAGAACCTGCCTCTGCCACCACTGCCCCAGGCCCCAAAGCCCAAGCGTGCTCCTCTCGGTGCCCCCTTCCAGGCCACTCTGCCCTTCCACTGCAGTGCCATCTTGGCTACGGCCCTGGATACAGTCACAGTCCCGTACCGCCTGCGCAGCTCGCCAGTTCCCATGGTTCACCTGGCCGACATGCTGGGCTTCGCTGGGAAAAAGGTATGGGGGGGGGGGGGGGGGGGGGGGGGTAGATTTGAGAGGACGGGGGCGGGGCAGAGAGGAGCTGAGACCAATCTCGGACCTGATCTCTGCCTTGCTTCCAGGTGGTGACAGCTGGAGCCACAATCCCCTTCCCTTCAGGACAGTCCCTTCCTGATACCCTGGTGCAGCTTGGCGGAGCCAGCCCATGGACCCCGCTGTCTGCCTGTGGGGACCCACCCGGAACTCGCTGTTTTGCCCAGTCTGTGGTGCTCAGGGGCGTGGGCAGCGCACTGCACACCAGGTGAGGTGGTGAGGGCAGCAGGTCCTGAGGAGCCCTTCTTACCCGCGTGCCCACCTCTCGACATTGACGGCATTGCCCCTCGGCCCATGGTGGGGGGGACACAAGGTCTCCGAGAAGCCGGGCTCCGCCGACAGGTTAGGAGTCTTCTTCGGCGGGGGTTCATGCCGGCCCAGTAAAGGTGGTCTGGGCGTGGCCCCACAGCCCGCTCCCCGCAGGACCGACTCTGCACGCCCCCTCCCCGCTGCACGCGTGTGCCACTGGGGAAGAGGTCTTGACCCAGTACTTACGGCAGCAGCAGCCCAGGGCTGTAAGGTCAGTGCAGGACTCACTCCCCCCTCCCCTCCCCCAACCCTCTCCCCGCTTGCGCGCCCCACTTCCTATTCTCTTGCCCCCACAGTTCTTCCCATCTGCTGCTGACTCCTTGCAAGGTGGTTCCTCCATATCCACGCCTCTTCTCGAGCCTCAGTAAATGGGGCTCAGTTCCGGACGGTCCTCCAGCGGGGCCAGGTACGTAGGTGATGAAGAAAACTAAAATCGCCACCAGCTTGGGTGGGGTTTTGCCGACTGCCGCCCAGGGGAGCGTTCCTCTGTCCAGCCTGCCCTCCTCAGGAGCTCTCGCCTAGTGCTGTGTCCAGCAAGGGCCCAGACTCTCCTCTGACTGCGGCCGCGTCCCAGCGTGAAGAAACCACCCACCCACGGTGTGCGTCTCTCCCTCCACAGCAGCAGAGAGCATTGCGGTGTTTGGAAACCTGGGTTCCTCTTCGGCTCTGCATCAGACCCTTGGAGACTTGGCCAAAGAGCTCAGCAGACTGGACCTGCGGCGCTGGGCCAGCTTCATGGCTGCTGGAGCCGAGCAGGACGACCTGGAGGAGGTGGTGCAGGAGCTACACAGCCTGGCCCAGTGCTACCGGCCTACTGACAGCCTGGCCCACTGAAGTCCCAGAGCGGGCAGGAGCTGCTTTCCAATAAAAACTGCTGGATGCGCGAGGGTTCCATGTTGGCTGCACCCACCAAGTCTTTATTACACTGAGAAACACATGATTAGCTCACAGGACAATAAATATGTACCATTTGAAATAAAAAAGAGAACAGGGCTGAACCCCTTTTATGCATTGCTATTTACAACGATGCGATGGTCTTCACACAAGGCAGCACAGGAGGGCAGAACCCTGGGCCCTATTCGGCCCCCAGCCTGACTGTGCCTTGTCCCTGGCCCCTCCACTTCCGGCTCTGCGTGGAGCCCAGGGCTTGGACAAGCAGCGGGCCGTGCTGGGCGTGGTCCTGTGCCTCACTCATCCAGCTCCTCCTCGGAGAGCAGGTCCCCATGGTCAGAGAGCTGGTCCGTATTGCTGGTGCTGGTTGCATCGTCCTCGTCCTCCGAGCTGGCCTCGCAGGCCGTGTGGAAGAGCTGCATGAGCTCTCGGAAGCGGTGGGAGACCTGGGTGGGAACAAGAGGGCCGCTTTCACTCCCATGTGCCATGTGCATGGGGCACTGCGGAGCAGCAGTGCAACAGGCTGTGCCTCCCACACGTCAGTGTCGTGACGCTGCATCTCCTTTACACGCCGGGAAACTGGCCACATAATTAGCCCAAAGTCATACTTCCACCAAAAATCTGGAATAAAACCTTTGTTCCATTTCTACCTCTAAATCCAATGCCCCTTTGCTTTGAACCACGAGCATCTGGCGAATCCTTCCTTAGGGGAGACCCTCGCCGGAACCTTAGTTTTAAATATCACCTGTCTCAGGGCTCCCCAGCCCGTCCTTACCTCAGCAGGGGTCTTATTTCCCAGTTGTTGGGAGATGATGCTGAAGGTCTGTGGCTGTGCCCCTTGCTCCTGGCACACGGTGAGAATCACCCGGTCAGCTTCCCTGTAAGCCAGAGCATGGGTAATCCCGAGGAGCCAGCCACCCCCGCGTACCTCCTGCTCCTCCATCCTGCCCTAACCTACCTTGTCCACAGAACCACCTTTTCCCCAGTGGAGCTGACCTTGCTGTTGTTGGCGCATACGGTAGCTTCTGTGGTCTTTGGTGGCTGTTCCCCATCTGGACCCCGGCCCTGCATTCCACTGTCCTTAGTCAGACTCCCGCTAAGGGCTTTTGGGGATGTTTCTGAGGCGTCAGTTGCTGATGAAGATTCGTGGACGGGGGACATCCTGTCGGCTGTCTTCACTCCAGCTCTGCTTGAGGGCAGCCCACTCTCTTGAGTTTCCGGTTCACCAGTCACCACAGACTCCTGTTTATTCCCTAAGTCTCTGGCCCTTGAGGAAACAGGGCCCGGGAAGGAAGCTGGGAGCTCAACAGTCTCGGGCAATGTCTCAGTTGCTGAAGTTTCGCACCCAGCCAAAGCTTTATGGCCCTCGCTGTCTTTGTGAAGTTTGGAACTAGACACCTTGGCGCAGGAGGTGACCTCGGGCCCCGCTTGACTGCTCGTAACCATTGGTGGGGAAGGGTGAGGAGTGTCTGGTGAGCAAGGTGGTGGGCCATCCAGGAGGAGTCGGTCTGTAACAGTCACTTCTCGGGTGGGCAGCGATGTGCTCCCTGTAGCCAATCCTGCTGAAGGGAACAATAAGGACCTAAGGATAGGGTCACATGACAAAGCTCTAACAAAGCGGGGAGGGGAGGGAGGGAAACACCCACTACCCCGCTGAGAGCGTAGATTTGAGAGGACTTGGAGGGACCCGGGGATGGAGAGAATATGGTTCATGAGACTTTGTAGCACTTACTTCGGCAGGAGGATTGAGGACATAGGGTAGAAAGGGAAGGCTGTCATTTAGGGAAGCTCAACCAGGGCCCGGGGCAAAGGACGTGAGAAAGAAAGAAGGCTGGGTGGGCTTGGGAACGTGGGGCAGGTAAGCAGGTCACTCACCTGGAACAGGTATCTCTCCCTTTCTGGTGGCTCTGCCAGTCCTGCTCTGCATCACCTCAACACTTTCCCGCTCCTCTGGGGCTTCTGCCTCCACCACATCCTTGCTCTGCCCGGGCTCCTTGGCAGCATGCATGGGGCTGGCCTCATAGTGGGGACTACTGCTCACCAACTCCTGGGGCTCCTTGCTCTTGTAGGATTTGCTGTCACAAACCTGTACAGATGGACCCTGGGTTAAGGGTCTCCTGACCTATATTTCAATTGAAGGCCACCGAAGAAAGAAGCCACCCCAACCAACAGAGCCTGCTACAATCATGTTCACTGGTCCAGCAGAGGGTGCTGCACTCCCCCACCCAGCACTGAACCTCTGCTTCCAGTCAGCCCCCTTCCAGAGCACCAGGGATGACTGAGGATATGAGTTCCCGGCAGGTTTTCATTCAAACAAACACACACAACAAAGAGGGAAATCTTTGATCTGGGTGATCTGTTTCCAATTCCAAAAGTTCTATACTCAGGCTCAATTAAAAAAGCAAAACCCATTCATTTATATTTTTAAAGAGTTGACTTTGCATATATCCGTAGAAGTGCATAAAAGACTGTATTGTTTGGAAATGTACAATTTATTTTAGGAATGTGAGGAGGTACAAACCTGTAAGAGCAGACTACCGCCCACAGGCAGGTCCAGAGGCCCTGGGCAGCTGGCGTTCCGCCCAGATCCCCCAGGTCCCTCCTCACCTTGCTGCTGCAGTGGCTGCAATTCCTCCTTTTGCTCTTCTTCAGCTTCGAGTCAGGCCCGCCCTCGTGGCAGGAACAGGTACAGTCCTTGGTCCCATCTGGCCACTCAGTCTCCTAGGAGACACTTAGCGGGGTTAGCTGCCACCCAAGCTGAACAAGCCCCACCTGTAATCATTTTCCTCGTGCACCATCTCTTGACAGTTCCTGGAAAGTCAATGACCACAGCCTGTCATAAGCCCCGGAAGCAATCCCTACGTGACCTAAAGACTACTGTATCCCCAGTGTCCAGATGTTGCAAAAAATATTTCAGTCAACTACGATCTACAGCAACATGACTGGAGAGCTCCTCCGTCTGTTTCCTCCGGTCTCCCTGTGCCTCGAGCGCTCCTCTCTTGCAATCCCGAGGGAGGGCTTTACACATGTGGAAGGTTCAGCCAATGACACCTGCTATTTAACAAACCAGAGACAGAAGTACTATTATTATCCCTATTCGGGATGAAAAGGCTGAAACAAAGAGGCTACACAAATTACCCAAGCTCACTCTGCCACTGAGCAGCAGTTTCTCCCCAGGAAACGCTCCTGGTTGATGAAGAGGAAGGAATGCGAGCGAGACGGGACCCGAGAGGCTACTTCTGGAAGAGCCCAGCCAGCAGCAGCCAACGGCTCCTCCTGATGAGGTCCTCGGGGTCTCTTCTGTGACCGCGCTGCCCTCCCCGGTTTCAGCACGCTGCCCAGTCACCTGACTGGGGATCCTGTTCCACAGTCATCTCAGATCTGGGTGGGTGGGTGGTAGCAAAGTGTGGTGAAGAAAGCCAGGGGTGCCCAGCTATCGACTGGAAGAATGTGTGGAGTCTTACAGGTCTGTATCCCAACAAGCAGCCCTCTGAGGGCGGCATCGATTAAGTCCACAGCAAAGACGCACAACAGTTAGTACGATGAGGAAAAGTACCAGAACTGCAATGGTGAACGGCCAATTTGGAGAGTGCATGGAGGACCGTGGGAGCCCAACCCACCTGCGGATTGTCCGGTCAGAGCCCGTGTAGCCACAGGCAAGGGACTCAAACGGTGTTGCTACCAGACAGTGATTGTTGTGAACTTGACTATGGTGGATTGAAACACTGTAGAATAGGACACTTGGTCAGTTTGCTCTCTCTCTCTCTCTCTCTCTCTCTCTCTCTCTCTCTC